TACAACCAGTCAACATCTGAGAAGATGTGTGGGTAAGCGGTCAGTTCTTAGGATTCAAACCAGTGGGAGAGTTTAGGGAATTGTTCTCTAGGTACAAGGCCCAGCTATTGGTATAAAATGTAAATCCTTGAGGTGGCATCAGACTTAGTGATCTGACACTTCCCTATCTTCTCATCTGTAGAGATACCAGGGCTCAGTGGGATTATGGTTTTGTCCAAAGGCATAGATCCAATTGTGGCAGAATCAAAAGTACAAACCTTTCCTGACTTCATTTCACATATTAATGGCAGACACTGTGCTAATTATGTGCTAATATGACAGTCTGCTCTGAAGCTCATGCATGGAACAAAGCAAGCGTCACTGGGCTAACAGAAGGGGACACACTGTCAGACATGTTAGCCATCCTGTGCTGCCAGCTGAGTCAGGTGTCTCCAGTGTATTTAAATGCATGAAAGCTCATTTGTCTTATTTCATAGGGATAATGCCCTCCTTAATTTTTTGTAAGTCTATTTATTCTTTTTTGAATTAAATTCATTGGGATGACATTGGTTAATGACATTATTTAGGTTTCAGGTGTATAATTCTATGATACGTCATCTGTATATTGAGTTGTGTGCCCACTGCCCGAAGTCAAGTCTCCTTCCATCACCATATATTTGACCCCCTTTACTGCCCCCTGACCCTCCTTCCCTCTGATAACCACTGTAGTGTTTTCTGTGTCTCTGTGTTTTGTAAACCTCTTCTTTTGTGTGAATTTGGTGTTCTGTGGGAGTGTGAGGTCAGCTCTTATCAGTGGGTCTGAGGGTAGGCAAAGATGTTCTTAAGACCTGCTGTGCTCACACCATTTGGCAATCTGCCCCTTCCCTTAAGAGTCCAGGAGTCCTTAATTTCCTCCGTCTCTCTCAAAAAGAAACAATTGTTTGGTTTTGTTTTGGCATTGTATAAATTGTTGACAATTACTACATTCTTCTCTAAAGGGCCTGAGTCCACAAAAGGTCAAAGTAGAAAGGATGGGGTGGGGGAAGATCTAGGGTCTGAAACCCTGGACAGCAAGAAATCTCCAAGAACAGGGTCAGGCAGAGTTTAAAGGCCTTTCTAAGAAAGCCAACACTTGACTCATCAGCAGCCTCCGTGGTTCTCCTGGGCCAGATGTGGGGGTGGGAAGGTTTACGCTAGTAAACACAGGCTCATGCAGAAGGGGAAATCTTTGGGACGCTGAGAGGATGAACATGAGGAGGGCAGGAGAAAATGTGAAGAAAGGAGCAAGGTGTCATATGAGATTCCTAGGGCTGATGTAGCACAGTACCATGAACTGTAGCTTAAAGCCACAGAAACTTATGTTCCCATAGTTCTAGGGGTCCAGCAAAAAGTTCGGCAGAGTCTGGCTCTCTCTGAAGGCACTGGGGAGGATCCTCCCATGCTGGTTCCCAGCTCCTTGTGCCTACTACCAATCCTTGGAGATACTTGGCTGGTGGGCATTACTCTGATCTCTTGCCTTTTGCATTTTACAAGGAGAAACCGGGCTGCACTCCCCACAATGTGCTTGGAAACCTCCTCAGCTAAAGATTCAAGTTCATCGCTTACAAGGTCTTCTTTCCATCCAGCAATAGAATAAAACTCAGAGACTTCCCCCCACTTTTTATCAAGTATCACCTTTCTTCCAGTGTCCCATACCATGGTCTTCACTTTGAACTGAGAGCTCACCTTTAATATTTAAATTCCCAGCAACAGTCTCTTCAAGGGAATCTAGGTCTTTTCTATCAGGTTCCTGAGCATTCTCCCAGCTTTTGTGCATTATCCAATTCCACAACCACTTCCACATTTTAAGTATTTTTTAACAACAGCACCCACTCTCTGGTATCAACACCAACCCTGATGAAATAAATACTCCACTTTAAAGATTATGAAAGTGAGTTGCAGAGAGGCTAACTTATCCACATGTGGTAGAATTGAAAATCACTGCCCCTCCTGCTCCCCAAGAAAACCATGTCCTAATCCCCAGAACCTGTGAATGTTATCTTATTGCAGATGTGATAAAGTGAATGATTTTAAAATGGGGAAGTTGTTCTGGATTATCTGAATGAGTCCTACCTGTAATCACAAAGGCCCTTAGAAGATGGAGGCAAGAAGATAAAAGGAGGAAGAAGGCAATGTGATGATGGCAGCAGAGATTGGAGTGATGTGGTCATAAGACAAGGGATTCTGGAAGCTCCTAGAAGCTGGAAGTGGCAAGGGATGGACTATCTTCTGGAGCCTCCAGAAAATCCATCCCTGATGACACCATCATTTTATCTCCATAAGACTAATTTCAGGCTCCTGACCTCCAGAACTCTAGAGAATTAATTTGTATTGCCTCAGGCCACTGCATTTTTGGTAATCGATTATGGCAGCAATAGGCAACGATATACCAAAGTTACTTGTTGATATGTAGGAGAGTCAGGATAGTGTGAGGAACCCATTATTTTCACCTTTAATTATTATTTCTGTAATGTAATAAGTTTGAGCTTTGCATTTATCTGGATCCCAGAAGTAGAAAAAGCCCTGAGCTCCACAAGGCACACTGACAGAAATTAAAGAAATGTTTTTTAATAAACCCCAATCTTTTGAAAAATTCATATATATCATTATTGCCAAGCATGTATAATATAAAAAATAAAGGGAAAATGTATAAAAGGAAGCTGTGGCTTTCTCTTTTTTCATTTCTTTGCTTCTGACTACGTGGAAGGAGCAGCATCCTGGGAGCGGGAGAGCAACTTCATGGACTTGCAGGTGGGGACCAGCAGCAGAGAGACAGAGACTGTGGGAGAATAATTACTTTCCTCTTCCCTTTAAGGAACTTAACAGTGTACTTGAGTGTAATCAATTAGTTGATCAGGAAAAATCCAAGAAGCTTCTGGTAGGACAAGTTTCATTCAAAAAATATGGAGAGTGAAATGAAACTGAGCAATGGTGGAGATATTTTGAGCAAGAAATGTGGTTTTGGCTCTGCTCTTGACTCATATATATGAAGCCTGTCAAGGTAAGCTCCCTTGTGTGTGACCTTTAGGGTTTCTCAGAGCTCTGTGATTAGAGGGGCCCCTCACAAGGTTTAATGCTCTGTAATGTCATCTTGAAATTCTTCATAAGTTTTGAACAAAGGACCTGGCATTTTCCTTTTATGCCAGTCCTTGCAAATTGTGTAGCTGGTCCTGTTCTGTGTCTTTATTCGAAGTTGAAAAACTTTCACCTGGGGCCCTTCAACATGACTCAAGTCATTAACTATAATAATTGGTCCAATGATATGGTCATTAATACCATCGTTTCCAAATCCAGCTGCTTCCCTCCATTGATAGTCACCCTATTGTCTACTACTTCCTGCCACATATGGTCCTCTTAGTACCTACCCTCAAGCTTAAATATTGCCTGATTTAAATTCTCAACCTAGTGAACCAAAATATATAATAAAAATCAATATCTTCATAGTGATGCAACAGACATCTAGATTATCATGTCAACGGTGAGAGTTTTGACAGCTTGCCTCTCTTGAAAACAATTTCCAGAGGCTGTTGCATCCATCCATCGGTAAATCTAGGATAAATTGACTCTGTCTGGACCTGGGATGGGAGAAGGTAGGAAGGTTTGGAGGGAAAGTTGCATCCACACCCCAGGTGCCTATTTACTTGTTAGGTCATACAGGCTTTCAATCTTGCAAGAACCATATGAAAAAAACCAAAGAGCCTGTGTGGTCACTGGAGACATTTTTCCAGGCCTCCTCTTCCTCTTTTCTCCTTGGCTCTTAGTGGTTTGGACTCTTTTGACTTTGTACTTGAGTCCTGTTAATTTCTGAATGAGTAACTTGAGATCCTCCTAAAAGACTAGACTCAAAACCCATATTGTACAATCCCCAGTGAACACCCAAGGATTCACGAAGTCATAAGCCGACTTTCTTCTTATAGAATGATCCCACAGTTTCCCACTACACCAGGGAAGATGACAGACACTGTGCCTGGCTTTCTGGGCAAGATTTAGGTCATTTAATAATGGCCTTTTGGATCCACCACTATAACCCAAAATACCGAATATAGCTTTGGAAATTTGGGTGTGAGATTGGGCACAAGGAGAAAAAGGTTTCAATTTGGCAAATCTGAAGCACCCACCAAATTAGGGGCAATATGACTGTCTCTTTAAAGGCAAACAGTTCCTCCACTGGCTCCACCCAATATGTGCTTCCTGGCTCAGCGGGTTAAGAGGGCGCAAACACTTCATCCTCACAGTCAAAGCAAAAGCCCACACCCTATGAGATTCTTTGGAGAAAACCTGAGAACTCATCAACTGGTTGTAAAGAAGGTGAGTCTGGCTGAGAAGCGGCCCTGAGTGGCTGAAGTGTAAGGGCAGTAAGTTCAGGGAGTGTGCAGGTCATGGAGGGACCAGGTTCTGTGCCAGCAGCACAGTGTGGAGGGCTGCTTTCAGAGGGCAGTGGCAGAGGGTAGAGAGGGGAGTCAGGAGCTTTATTAGCACAATGCTACATGTCTTATATTGAACAGGACACATTTGTGCTGACTGGTGCACCTTCATGCATTTGCTGCTGTGATAGACACTGACGGCTGCCTAACAAGCCCTCCTTTTCCATGGATAGGAAATGAGTGTCTCCAAGGCAGGTCTTTAAAGCTCAAAGGCAATTTAGATACAACTCTGTCTAACTCCCTCTTTTTACTGAAAAAGAAGCAGGATCCCAGGGAGTGTGGCCACTCTAAGTGTAGCCATCATTAAGGGCAGAGGAAATCTGGACTGTGGTTCGCTAAATCCTTTCCATCATTTAGCAGAGAGAAGCTATGACCCAAATAGTGTTACATGCGAGGTGAGGAGGGGGTGTCACGGAGAGAGGGTTGGCTATTCTGGAGGAACATTATATGTGAAACCCTCCTGTTAACTTCCTTAGTTACAGGCTTCCTGCCAGTCTTCCATTATGGAAAGAATATAAACTCCCCTCCCTGCCCTCACTTGATCTAGCTCTGATTCGATGGGATTTTAGAATCATGGGCCTGAGAAGGAACTAAGAGGCTGTTGTGTGCAGTGGTTAGGAGGGAAGTGGTAGTCAGACAGACTTTGAATTGGACCCCTTCTCTGCCTGATACCTGTTGGCACTGTGACCATGGGTAAGTGTCTCAGTATTTTTAAGTCACATCAAAGTCCTTATTTTAAAAGTTAGAAAAATAAAATTAGCATTTTTCAGGCTACTTTTGGGGAGTAAATAAGGTAAAGTACAAAGCATTTATCAGGGTGCTTCCTATACAATATTCAGTAGTGGTTTTTTTTAGGTCGATGCTGAGAAAAACCAGGTCGAATAAAATTAAAAAGCAAAATTTATAAATTTATTGTTGCTTCTGTGAACAGGAGGGCTGAGACCAAAGTGGTGTCAGTAAGCAAAGGTCTCTGTTTGAGATGCCATGAACTTACCCAATGGGGAAGTTGAATGGGATATAAAAGTTCAAAATTCTAAGGAGGGTTGACCTCTAAACTGTAAGTATTGTACAAATGGCATTCAAAGCAATAATTTACT